TCCGTTTGTTGCCTCCTCGACATGGCCACTCGGTACGGCGAAGTACGCGGCTATGACAATGGAGCCGTCGTCTTCCTTTTCAGCTGCGGGTGAACCCGTTGACGTGATGCGACGTTTGGCGGATAGAACGACAAACCAGTCGCTTATTCGCTGCGACCCCTTTGCCTCACCATCCATGAACTGTGTGGCCGATGCGAGTTATTTGGGGGCGCCGTATCTTCGCATGATGTTGAGTGCTTTCCTTCTCCTGCCTTCGCCGTTGCCGCGATTGCGTGTGGCGGTGCTTGGCGTCGGTGGTGGTTCCCTCCCATCATTTCTGCAGCAACACTTTTCACGGGACATCATGCGGCTGGATCTGGTCGACGCAGAGCCGCAATGCTTCCGGGCAGCAGTGGAAGACCTCGGCCTCCGCGAGACGATGCGAGGGGGTGCGATGTCGTGCCATGTCTCGGACGCAGCCGCATTCCTAAAGGGGGCCGTCACGGGGCTGAGTGAGGACGCAGCCGCTGTTTTTTACTCCGGCGCTTCACCACCGTTCGTCAAGGAGGCCCCTGTAGTTGTCAAGGGTCGACAGCGCGCACAGCGTTATGATGTTCTTTTTGTTGATCTTTTTGTGGGCAGCACGCCCCCCGCGTTTCTCGCTTCTTCGTCATTTTTGCAGTTGTGTCATGGTGTGTTATCGTCGGTGGGTGTGGCGGCGTTTAACCTGCCAGCACCTGATCCCGAGTTTATGGTCAGATGCCGTCGAGTGTTTGGCCGCGGTAATGTTTTTCAGATACCCGTGCCGGCTTCCGCCAATGTTGTGGTAATTGCAAGACGCGTCGTTGGGAGTGAAATGGTCGACGGCGTGCCCATTTCACGTCGTCATTTCTATAGACGGGCGGAGGCACTGCAAAAGTCGCATGCGTTGCCGTATGATCTTGCAGGCCACTACCCTTTTTGGTGGCGCTTCTGGTGAGGGTGGGATCGTCATGACTTGTTGTTGTTGTTGTTGTTGCCATTGGTGGATAAATACGGACGTGCATACGCAGTGGCTTTTTTTTTGTGTGTGTGTGCCTGGGTTTTATTGGCATAGTGGGGAAACTGGGATTTTTTCTTGTGGTTTTTCTGCTTTTTTTTTTTTTGCAGCTCTTTGTAATTTTATTTCTTTTCCCTTCACGGAGTTGTTTTTGTTGTTGTTTTTCATTCTTCCAAGGGGTCATTTCTATTTGTTGCTTTTTTTTTCTTTTGTTGTGTTCATGCGTCCGTCACCTCCTCATTTTTTATTTTATTTTTTTTTTTTTTTTGGTTGCTGTGTTGGTGGTTGGTTGGACCTTGGAAAGGTCGAACTTTATCCACCATTCACGTCAAACCAAAGAAGGAAGGAATTGAGTATTTAGGGTTGTTTTTTTTTTCTTTTTCTTTTTCCCTTTTGTTTTTATCGTTATGTCAACAGCGGTGTTGGCAGCACGCGCCTGTGCACGGACGATATTGTGGCAAAGTCTCCGTCTCTCTGCTTTTCAAGGCGCCGTCCCACATGTACTGCTCGTGGTAGACCGATTGCCGTGTACGCTGCAGAAGGTGCTTCTTGAGGGTTATATGCAGGAACTGGACGCCATCAACATGGGGTCGTCCAACCCGGTAGAAGGCCCGCCTCGTCTTGATCTCGACCTTCTTGCAACAACGCCCTCCTACAGCAACGGATTGGACAAGGACTGGAAGGTGACATACGGTGTATTGCCCTTTTCCGCAGGGTCCTTCTTGGAGGATGTGCAAACATTGCAGGCGTTTTTGCGTCAGTGTGGTGCGCCCGTTGATACGGAAGAAGGGAGAATTGGTGGACAGTGGTCAGAAGAGAAGATGAAAGGTGTCCTTGACTCACTGGCACCCATTTTGTCGCCATACCGTGCGGACGACAATGCCGATGGCTCTGTTGAGTGGAAAGATGCCCTTCTTCACACTTTGCGTGCGGGGCAGCCACGTGAGTTGCTGGGCTGTATACTCATTCAACGTAATGCTTTTCAGAATGAACTGGAGAAATACCGCCTGCGACTGGACCTCTTTAAAATGGGTCTCCGAGTCGCCGAACATAACCACCTGGAGTGTATGAGTCGCACGGCAGATACTCTCGCCAGCGGGAAGGATGGCGGAAGCAGGGAACGATGCTTGGAGGAAGAAGAGATTATTTATTACATGCAATCATGTTCGTTGCAACCACATGTGGCGGAGTCAATGGGACGCGCCATTGCCGATTCCATTGATGCATTGAGCTGGTCGAGACGAACCGTTGCTGCTGATGGAAGCGATGGCGTCAAATTGGACGTGGTACCGCCCGCATCCTTCTATGAGTCACTGTCCAACGCCGATTTGTTGTCCGTCTACAACGCGGGAGTGCTCCGTTGGGAGGGAAGTTGCTACGAGAAGAACACGGTCACGGGGATGGATCCTTCCGCCGCGTCATGGAATATTAGCGGTCCAGGGGCACCACTTCGTATCATATGTCAAGACGGTCAAGTGTTGAGTTTTGAAGGCGGACTGGAGGAGTGTTTGCTCAACACCGGCTACTATGCCGCCGCACACGCACCGGAGCGTAATTGTGTTCAGGGTCACCGTCAGCGCTTTCCTGTGCGTGATGCCGGTGAGGCGAATAAAGTGGAAGAAGGGGCGGAGGAAAAAGAGGAGGGAGACATTGCATCTATGCGCAAGGCCAGCGATGCAGAGAAACGAGGGCGTTTAAAAAAGAAGGAGTATTTGGCAATGTTAAAGCGTACAGGGAAGAAAAATACGGCGGGACGCACTTCTTCCCCATCTGATGAGAATGACGATGGCGTTCGCCGTCGTGGCAATGATTGCGGGGCGTGTGTAGGAAGCAGTATTGGCGGAACATTCCCTGTTGGAGAGGTCATCAGTGAGTCCTTTGACCTGAGCAAACTGAACGGATCCTGCTCCGTCTTTGCATACCCGAGCCTCTTTAAGGAAGTCACCATGTCGGATCTAAATCCGGTGACAATGCGCATCGAGAATGGGATCGTCACGGACATTGGGCCCAATGCGCCGGAGGAGCTTGTGGAATTGGTCAGTCTGGTGCGACAGGCAGAGGGAGCGTGCTACGTACGAGAACTTGGTATTGGTCTCAGTCCGCATGTGGGCAGGGGCCGCATTGTCAGCGATGTGACGGCGTTTGAGCGTCAATTTGGCGTGCACGTCTCACTTGGGCAGCGTCATCCACTCTTTGTAAAGCAGCCGGCGAAGCGTAATGCGGATGGATCGGTGGCCGTGCAGGTGGATGGACCGGTGCTGAAACGTAAGGCGGGAAAATATCACATTGACGTCTTTCTCGACGCTGCACGACTTGAAATGGGTGCATTTGTGGTCGATTTCACGAAGGGTGTGTGTTCTTTTTCGTCGGCGGCGGCGGCGGCCGTGTCGTGTGCATGAGAGGTATTTGATAAAAGGGACTGAGTGAAAAAAGACGGGATTGGAGAAGAGGGAAAGGACTGGGGTGTGAGATGATGAGCCGCAGTTGACGAGTTTTTCTTTGTCTTGAGCCCGTTGCTTCCTTTTTTTTTTTTACACTTTCTTTATTGCACCGCAATGGGCATGCCTACCTGTCTGTGGCGACGGGAGGGAGAAGCCCCTGTGATATTATCCCGGTGCTGAGGAAGGAAGGGACGGTGCAAAAGCGCAGGCACAGACACACAAAGAAAAAACACGGGAGGGGGGGGGGGGCGACTTTTTATTTGCGTGCTGGGCTGTCTTTTGGGGATTTCAGTCATGCGGCGTACCATGTGGCTTCACACGACGGCGGCGCATCTTCTCCTGGATGGCGAATGCCGCCTCACACGGATGACCGATCATGTTGGCGTCCTTACACTCAACCGTCCCTCGCGAAAAAACGCGATTGGTCAGACACTCCTTCGTGAACTAAGCGAGTGCATCCGCATGTGCCGCGACCCGGCAAATGCCATCCACTGCCTTCTGCTTGAGAGCCAGGTCGACGGTATTTTTTCTGCCGGGGCAGATTTGAAGGAACGTCGTACCATGTCACTTGAGGCATCACGTGCGTTTGTGAAGAACCTTCGCGACACCTTCACCGCGTTTGAGGATCTGCCGATGCCAACAATTGCCGCGGTTGAGGGCAAAGCCCTTGGTGGTGGCTGTGAATTGGCACTTTGTGCCGACATGCGTGTGGCCGGTGCGGCGGCGATGTTTGGGCTGCCGGAGACGAGTCTCGCGATTATTCCCGGTGCTGGTGGGACGTACCGTGCCCCAATGGCAATTGGTCTCAGTCGCGCGCTGTATTTTATCTTGACCGCGGAGCAGCTAACGGCCGAGCGTGCGCTGCAGTTTGGTCTTGTGAATGAAGTCGTCCCGGAGGGCGGGGCGGCCGCGGCCGCGTTGTCGCTGGCTGAACGTATTGCACGCAATGGGCCAGTGGCGTTGGCCGCGGCGAAGGCGGCGGTGCGTCACGGGTTTGGGCGGCCGCGTGAGGAGGCACTACGGGGCGAGGAGGCGCAGTACGACGTTGTGCTGCAGACGGAAGATCGTGTGGAGGGGCTGCGGGCATTCGCGGAGAAGCGACCGCCAAAATACATGGGGAAATGAGGGAGAGGGAGGTGTGTGCATATATATATATATAATAGGGAGGGCGTGGGAGCAAAGTGAACGGGGTGGAAAATAAAAGGAACCAAAAACAAAAATCAAACATCACGTGCGTGCCGAGAAGGAAAAAAAAAAAAAAAAAGAAGTTTGAGAGAAATTTTTATTACCGCCCGTCATATTTCGTTGTTTTTTTTTTTATTATCCCCCTTTGTTGTCATCGTTATCTTCCATTTTATTTTAATTTTCTTTCTGGTGCCTTTACCCGACGTCATCTGCAGTAAACTGCAAGGAAAAACAACCAAAATAATAAGAAGAGAACCACTCAAGCAAAGAAGGGAAAAGGATTGCACATCCCCTCAGCGGAAAAGAAGGAAGAAACAGCAAACAACATCTTTAAAGGCACAAGAAGGAGAAGAATAATGTCTTTGGAAGACGACTGGAAGAAGAACCTCCTTGCACCCAAGAAGGATACACGCAAGAAGACAGAAGATGTTGAGTCTCGGCGCAACGTCACCTTTGAAGAATATGGTTTACGGCGTGAACTGCAGATGGGCATCTTTGAAAAGGGATTTGAGCGGCCGAGCCCTGTGCAAGAGGAGGCAATCCCCGTCGCGCTGCAAGGCAAAGATGTGCTAGCACGTGCCAAAAATGGTACAGGGAAGACGGCTTCCTTCGTCATTCCCGTTTTGGAGAAAGTGGACACACGAGAGCCACATATACAGGCACTTTTGATGGTTCCAACCCGTGAGTTGGCACTGCAGACGGCGCAAGTAACAAAGGAACTTGGGAAACACATTTCAGGACTTGAGGTGATGGTTACAACCGGTGGAACGACCCTGCGTGATGACATCTTGCGTCTTCAAAACCCTGTCCATGTGCTTGTGGCGACCCCAGGTCGTGTGGTGGATTTGGCGAGCAAGCGCACGGCGAAGCTTGACCGCTGCCGCATCATTGTGCTTGACGAGGCAGATAAACTCCTATCACAGGAGTTTACGGAATTGATAGAGGACCTTTACACCTACTTGCCTGCCGATCGCCAGTCTCTTCTGTTTTCCGCCACCTTCCCTGTGACTGTGAAGGACTTTGCAGACCGTTACCTGCGCAACCCGTATGAGATCAACCTCATGGAGGAACTGACTCTGCGAGGTGTAACGCAGTATTATGTCTTTGTGGAAGAACGGCAGAAAATTCATTGCCTGAACACACTCTTTAACCGCCTCCAGATCAACCAATCCATCATATTCTGCAATAGCGTTAATCGGGTGGAGCTGCTGGCGAAGAAGATCACCCAGCTCGGTTATAGCTGCTACTACATTCACGCCCGTATGCAGCAACAACACCGTAACCGCGTCTTCCACGACTTTCGTGAGGGGCATTGCCGCAACCTTGTCTGCTCCGACCTCATTACTCGTGGTATCGACATTCAGGCGGTTAACGTCGTGATTAACTTTGACTTCCCCAAATATGCTGAGACGTATTTGCACCGTATTGGCCGCTCCGGTCGCTTTGGACACCTGGGCCTTGCGATCAACTTTGTGACGTATGATGACCGCTACAACGTCTACCGCATCGAGAAGGAGCTCGACACGGTAATAAACGCCATTCCGGGTGAGATTGACCCTGAACTCTACGCCGCATAAGGCGCAGGCCTGGAGGCGGTGGCAAAGAAAGCCGGGGCGGGAGGGAGCACGGTGAGAGAGAGAGAGAAGGAGAGGAGAATAAAAGGAGAAGAGGAAGAAGAAAACCAACCAACTGAAATGACAGCGAGAAGAAGGAAGGAAGGAAAGAACAAACAAACAATGAAAAGAAAAACGACGAAAAAAAAAAAATAGAAAAAAATTTCCCCTCCCCTCCCTCCCATAAAAAAAAAAAAAAAAAAAAGGGAAAGGCAAAAAGAAAAGAAAAAAAAAACGTCGGAATTACACACGCACTCAAGAAACGAAAAAAGAACGAATGAATCGAGGAAGAAGAAGAAGAGAAAAGCTCAGAGGCCGGAAGGGGTGTGGGTGGAGTGATGGCCTTCAATGAAAGTAATGCAACGAGTGGTGGGTGATGTGAGGAGGAACAAAAAAGAAAAAACTAAAAAAAAAAAGCAAAAAAACAAACGAAAGGCGGAGGAGGAGGAGAGAAGAAAACAAAAAGTATTGTGATGGGGAGAGGGGGGAAGCGTGAGAGTGAAGAAAAGGACTGCACTGCACTGCATGGAGGACGGACACAGAAGGGAGGGAAAAAAAAAGGAACAGAAGAGCAGAAGACACAACAACAACAAAAAAGAAAAAAGAAAAAAAAAGGCCTACTAGAGGAGGATGAAGAGGGAAGTGACAGGTGAAGACAGGGACGGGGAGAGAAGGAGAGCAAGACGAATAAAAAGGAAGAAAGAAAGAGCAGGAGTGAGAAGATAGAAAGAGGGGAATACCCAAACAACAGCGGTAGTGACCAGAAACAAACAGAGATTTGCAATGGGGGACGTACATGATATAATATATATGTATATGTCTGTATTTATTCGTAGAGAGAGAGAGAAAGTGTGTGTTTGTTTGTGTCTTATAGTGTATAGAAGCGAAGAGAAATGAAGGCAAGTGGTTTGATGGGAATGAAAGAAGGTGAAATGAAGTGGGCTTACATGCACACATTCAATATCCATGCATGCGTATAAATATATATATATATATATATATATATATATACGTGTGCGTGTGTGTGTTTTTTCTCTGGAAGGTGGAGGAAGAGGCGAAGTGGGTGTAGGGGAGAGGAAGGGGAGGGGAAGCTCTCACACGTACATACATATTATACACACATACACGTACAAATACATGCACGCACGCACAGACAAGAAGAGGGGGAAGAAGAAGAAGAGGAGGAGTAGGATTGGGAATGTAATGCCATTTGGGAAATGGGGAAGCAGGAAAAATAATAATAATAAAACAACACAACACAGTGGAGGAAACGAAGGCATGAATCACCCGCATGTATGAGGAGGATGGAGAGTCAGACACAAAATACGAGAGGGGAAGGAGGGGAGGGGGCAATAAAAACGACGGCATCACACATTCTCACCCGAGGAGGGGGGGGGAAAAAGAAGAAAAAAAAGAATTCACGCAGAGAGAATGAGAGAAATGCACAAAAATTACATGCGGAAACGAAGCGCCGACAGGGGAGGGGTGATGGTGTTGGTGATGGCACGAGTGTGAAGGGATGAGAAGGAATCCACTTTTCACCGCCCTTTTTTCTTTTCTGGACTTTCTTCCCCTTTTCTTTTCTTTTCTTTTTTTTTTTTTTTTTTTTTTTGCAGATGTTTGACATCTTATTCTCGGGTTTCGTTTATTATCCTCCTTTCCCTTCTTTTTTGTTTTTGTTTTTTCTTCTGTTTAATTTTAATTTTAATTTTAATTTGTATTCTTTTTTTTTGTTTGTTTGTTTGTGTGTGTGCGTGTGCGTGTTTTTGTCTCCCGTTTGTCTGTCTGTCTTTCCGTGGGCCAAAATGAGATGAAATATGCGTTGCGGTTTGTGATGTTTGTAGACGTGTGGACGGGGGTGCCGCGTGTGGGCGCCCTCATGTGTCTGTACGATACGACGTCGATTTTGTTGTTGTTGTGAAATGCAAGCAGACATGAGTATTGCATCTCTTCTTAATCCTACCGGTAACGCATGCACATGCGTGTACATGCGTGTGGATCAATGGCAAGAGAGAAGTGCGAGAAGAGGAGGTCAAGAGAGAGAGAAAAAGAAGAAGAAGAAAAAAAAAAAAAAAAAGAGGGCGTAAATGGGGAGGAAAGATAAAAAAGGAGGAAATGAAGGGAAGGGAGAAGACAGCGTAATCGATCATAAAAAATAGTGATATGCATTTGCTATTAATAATAATAATAATAATATAATTATATATATTTACGGCATGAATAACTGAAAAGGCAAAAGGCAAAAGAAAAAGAAGACAGCAGCCGCAGCAAAAAAAGAAAAAAAAAAGAAAAAAGGAAAAAAAAAAAAATGTGACACGCAATTATCGCAACGGAAAGAATAAGTGAAAACACACGCAAACACAAACACGCACATATTTATAAAAAAAAAAAAAAGAAGAAGAAGAAGGCATGGTTACAGCGTGAAATTGAATTTAATTTGCACGATTTTGTTCTTCTTGTTTCGGTTTGTGTATTTATTTATATTTACATGCATTTTTGTGCGCACATCTACCGATGACGAATGAAAAAGAAAAAAAAAAAGGTGGTGGTGGTGGTGGTGGGTGGGTGGGGGGAGAACGGATGAACATCGGCAGGCGACCACCGGCTTAGCGGCGGTCAGTAAGACATGTGGGCGTGGAATGAAGAGGGGAAAGAAGGGAGGCGCGATTCCCTCCACACGTAATGGCACGTAGAGCAGGAAAGAAGGACACATACAGACAGGCAGGCAGGAAGGCAGAAAAGAGAAGAAAAAGAAAAAAAAAAAATAATTTCTTGTATGACTTTTGGAAATGACTGCTCGGCTGAGCAGAAATCATCTTTTCATGTGTCTGCATGCCTGCATTTCTGTGTGCGTCCTTCTTCCCTTCTTTCTGACATGTAGCCGCTCACTGCCCCTCTTTTTTCCCCCTTTCGATCAGTGTGCCTTGCGGGTGGTTGTAGAGAAGGGGATGCGGGCATGTACTCTTGACAATGAAGATGGGAAAAGAGAAGGAAAGGAGGAGGAAAAGTAATATTTCTTTGCATACATGTCTTTCCTTTTCTTTTCTCTGTTTGGTTTTTGCGTGTATATAAATATAAATACGCCTGACCTTTCATTATTATTATTATTATTCTTGCGTATCGTGTTGTGTGTTTGTGTGGCGGCCTCGTTTTTTTCTGTTTTTTATTTATTTATTTTCCCCTTCATTTTTATTTTATTTTATTATATTTTTTTTTTTGTGTTATTTATTTTATTTTTTCCTCCTGCACTCTCTCTCTCTCTCTTTCTTTTTTTTGCCACGGAGTTATCAACGCCCAGCAGACTTTTCTTCTTCCCTCTTCCTCCTCCCACCACCGCAGCACCTGCAGCAGCAGCGGCACTTTGATTTGTTGGTAAACAAGAACAAAAGGAAAAGAAAAAAAAAAAAAAAAAGGAAACGGTTACTTGTGAAGGGCTTCTGTTTATTGTAACGCCGTTTTTTTTTGTTTGTTCGTTTGTTTGCATTTTTACCCAAATTGTTTCTGCTTAGCCGTCGTCGTCGTCGTCGTCGTTGTTGTTGTTTTGTTGTTTATTATTCTTCCACTTCCTGCTGCCTTTTATTTTTAATTATTTTTATTTTTATTTATTTAAACAAAAAATAAAAAAATAAATAAATAAAAATAAAAATAAACGAAAAAAAAAAAAAGAAAAAACGATCTTCCCCCTCATGTGTCTGTTGTATGCATGCATGCATGTATGTGTTGTTGCCAACGGCAGCGCTCTTTCCCGTGCAGGGATGAAAAATTGTGATGGGATGAGTGGATGAATAACAATAAGAAGGGGGTAGAAAAAAGAGAGGGAGGGGAGGGGAGGGGAAAGAGGGAGGGACGTGCCTCTCCACGGAAGCACGCATTCACCGCCAGCTTGCATGGGTGTGCACCGTCGTAATATTGCCTGACTGCATGTCTTTTTTCTTTTTTTCCTTTTTTTTTTTTTTTTCTTTCTTTGTGTGTGTGTGTTTGTGTTTGTTTGGCCGGCCTTTTGGCTCAGTCCATCTCACACAAATATGCGGCCGCCACAATGGCTCCTCCTTTTCTCTCTTCTCTTCTGTGTGTGCGTCCGTGTTGTGTTGACTTCTTTGAGTCGAGTGTATCGCCTGAAAGGGACTTCGCCTTTTTTGTTGTTTGTTTGTTTGTTTGTTTTTTTTTGTTTTTTTTTTTTTTTTTACTGGGCCCATCTCTCTTTTCTTTTCTTTTCTTTTTTCTTTTCTCTCACGTTATTTATTTTAATTGTATGATTGTGTGCTTGAGAGGGATTTTCTTTTCTTTTTTTTTTTTTTTCTTTTTTTCTCTACTTCTTTTTTACACGTTTTTACACTTGTCTAGTTGAGCTGTGTACATGAGTGCATGCATGCACGTCTCTCTCTCTCTCTCTCTCTCTGTGTGTGTGTGTGTGTGTGTGTGCCTTTTTTTTTTTTTTTTCCCTCCCGCTTGCTTTTCTTTTTTTCTGTTTTTTGGTGTTTTTTCTGTTTTTGTCTTTTCACTCACTCATTCACTCACTCCCAAAGAAAAGGAAGTAAAAAACAAAAACAAAAAAACAAAAAACTACACATTCTTCCTGACTGTATTCCATTAAATATTTATGTTTATTTCTCTCTCTCTCTCTTTCTCTCTCTTTTTGTGTGTGTGCGTGTGCGTGTGGGTGTTTATTGCGCCCCCACTTCCCTTTGGGGAGACGGAGGCGGCTGCGTAGTCCTTTTCTTTTTTGCTGCAGCGGCTGCTGCTGTTGTTGTTGTCGTTGTTTTTGTTGTTGCTGTTTTGCTTTTTTTGTGTGGATATTTTCTTTTCTTTTCTTTTATTCTGTTTGGCTCCCTTCTTTAAAAAAAAAAGTAAGTTTGGTTCTGTTTTTGTCCTTTTGTGGGCGTTTGTGTGCGCACCCGCTCGCATCAGGCGCAGGGGGACAGAAGAGAAGGCAACACAAAAGCGAGAAGATATTGAAGGAGAGGAGGGGAGGGAGCGGCTTTTTTTTTTTTTTTTTTTGGCAGGCAGGCAGGCAGGCAAGAAACGGAAAAGGGGACGCTTCATTTGCAACCAAAAGGGTGTGTTTGTGTGGGGAGGGAGGGAGGGGGGGGGGGGAAAATTTGATAGAGAAGGAAAGGAATAAAGAAACCGGGGTGTGGCAGCAAAAATAAAAATAAAATAAAGAAGGAAAAAAAGGGGGAGCACGTCAGTTTGATGCATTCAACCGAGAAGCGGGGACGAGAGGAGACGGAAGTTGCGGCGGTCCCAACCGTACACGAGACAGAAGGGGTGGTGGTGGTGGGCAAAGGGGATGATGATGTCAGGAAGAAGAAGAAGAGGCCGCATCTGGAGAATGACGCCGATAATAATAATAATAACAGCACCACCAACAACAACAACAACGACGTCACAGACACGTTGGACGCACATAAGAAGTTTGCAGGTCTTCGGGAGGAGCGGCCGCAACAAAACGAACCTTTGCAACATCCTCCCTCCGTTAACGAGGTGTCAGTAGACGGCCGGGGTGAAACGGATGGCAGTGAGGTGGGGGCGAATGATGTTGATGTGGAGGAGCCCACACTTTTCTTCGGCCCCACACATGCGGCGCGTGACGAGAAGAGGAGTGATGGAAGCGGCGTCGATTTACGGTGTGTCGCCTCCGGTGGTCAAAATCAACGACCGGACGCGGCGCATGATGGCTGCCGTGCCCCTCACACCGTCGGTGCGGTCACGACTTTGTATTCATTGCGGCAACTGGAGGAACTTATTGGCAGTGCACCTCTTCCCATTGCTCATGCGGGTGTGTTGAACGTCACGCCATCGTCATCGTCATCGGCCCCACCGTCGCTGCGTTTGAGGGCGGGCGAAACGGTTCTCATTATGTTGCATCGGTGTAAGGGAGAAGCAGGAGTGTTGCCGCAGCACACGACGGAACAGCTCTCAAATTGCCGTATCTTTTTACTGGATCTCGGCGAGCTGCCGCCGTGTGAGTACGAGGAGAAAAGCGATGTGGCGTGTCCGAACGGCCATGATGAACGAGGAGTTGCTACCGGCTTCCTGCAGTTGCCTCCGACAGACACCCTCCTGTCGCTGGCGTCACAGGGGGCACACGACATGGAGCACGTCATGCGACGTGCGAGTTCGTTGCTGTGTGTAGATGAAGTATTGAATGCAAACGATGCCGACTCCTCCAAGTCCCAGACGTCCGAGAAGGGCGGTGGCGACGAGAACGCATCCGCAGACGCCACCCACTCGTGTAAACGTGAGGAACTCGCTCTTCCAGCCTTAGTCATGTGGCGAGCGGAAGGAGGGCTGGCCGATGAGTATTGTTACCCGAAGGAAAAGGGAAAAAATGATAGCCATGCCAACAACCACGACAATCCACAGCCGCCGTTGGCCGGCAGATACCATCATGGACGACCGTTAGTGGTGAAGCAACTGACGTCGTTGGATCAACTGCACTCCTTTTCATTACTGACACCTGTTTATACGGTGACACATTTTCTTCGCACGGTATGTGAAAAGGCGCTTTTTCCGGATGACCCCGCTGCAGGTGCCTCAGGCACCCGATCTCTTATTTACTTTGGTGCGTCATGGTGCCCGCCGTGCATGCGGATTGTACACGCCCTTCCAACAATGATGAAGGAGGATTTTCCCAGCAATATGACGTGCTCCGTGAAGGCTGACATGGACCTTGCCACCCCGTTGTTTGAGTTCTTCGGGGTGGAGATCATCCCCACCTTTGTCATCCTTGACAATGAATCGCTGCGAACAGCCGGGGACTGGAAAGCACTTCGTAGTTGCTCCATTTCAGAGGAGGCCCTGTCGCAGATCTATGAGGGCCTACGCCGCAGCGAGCTAGGACGTATCCAGAACTCACAACGTGTTACTGTGCGCACGTTTATTGAGAGACACTCGGGTATGCTGAAGTTTGATGAGGACTTTTAACAAAACACGAATGAGAGGGGCTTCCAAAAGTAACGAACGCAACCAGACACACACACACGTACATACACAAAAAAACAATACATGCTCCCCCATGGTACTGGCGCGTCGTGAAGATTTTATACGCATGAATCGTGTGCATAAAACGACGCGGAAATTATACTGGAGATATGTACAATTATATACATGCATATTTGTGTGTGTGTGTGTGTTTGTGTGTGTGTGTGCCTGTTTTACTGCCCGTTTTATTTTTATTTTTATTTCTCTTTTTCTTTCTCCTCATGCTTCCTATTATTATCACCGTTATTTAACTGCTTTTTGTTGTTGTTGTTGTTTTTTCTTGCGTGTCCTCCCTTCAATTGTCGTAACCCTCGTGTTTTCCCCGTGCAGGAAAAGAGAGTGAGAGAGAAGGAGAGGCAGATGGAAGGGGGGAGGACCTTTTTAATAGAATCCATAGAGACTGCGGTGGGTGGTTTTTTTTTCTTCTGCCATTTGCAAGGAACCGTGTGTGTGTGTGTGTGTGTGGTGGGGCAGTACACATGATGTGTTGCATGTACATGGCCACTGTGAGGTGTTTCTCTGTCTGTAACGCACCGCGTGTGAGAAGAGTACAGAAGGTGGGGGACTGGGATTGGCATGCATCCATCAAAATGTTGCGGCTCCACCCTCAGCAATATGCACGCATGCATGTCTATTATTACCATTATTATCATTATGACGTTACGATTACATCTTCCCTCCGATACGACTGGAGCAAAAGTGAAGTTTGAGGGGGGCGTAAAAGGAGGTGGACCCCTTCTTTTTGTTGTTGTTGTTTTGTTTTTTTACGCCTTTCCTCACAAACTTCAAACAAACGAAGAAGAAAACAACTAAAACAAAAAGAAAGAATAAGAATGGGGAGGGGGGGGGGGGGGGGGGGGGG